ACAACCAACAACCAATAACCAATAACCAACCAACCACGACGACGACAACAACAATAACAACAGCAGCAGCAACAGCAACAGCAACAGCAACAGCAACAGCAGCAACATCAGCCAGCAGCAACAGCAACAGCAACAGCAACAGCAACAGCAATAGCAACAGCAACAGCAACAGCAACAACAACAACAACGCCAACACCAACACCAACAACAACAGCAACAGCGACAGCAACAACCACAACAACAGCAACCGCATCAGCAGCAGCAACAACAACAACAAGAACAGCAAGAACAGCAACAACAACAACAACAACAACAACAACAGCAGCAGCAGCAGCAGCAGCAGCAACAACAACACCAGCAGCAGCAGCAGCAGCAGCAACAACAACAATAACCACAACCACAACCACAACACCCGCACCAACCACAACAACCACAGCAACCACCATAACCACAACAATCACAACAACCACAACAACCACAAGACCACAACAACAACAACAACAACAACAACAACAACAACAACAACAACAACAACAACAACAACAACAACAACAACAACAACAACAACAACAGCAGCAGCAACAACAACAACCACAACCACAACCACAACCAACCACAACCACAACCGCAAACAAAACCGCAACCGCACAACCGCAACCAGCAACCGCAACCGCAACCGCACCAAACCAACCCAAACCAAACCGCAAACAACCACAACCACAACCACAACCACAACAACAACAACAACAACAACAACAACAACAACGACAACGACAACGACAACGACAACGACAACGACAACGACAACGACAACAGCAGCAGCAGCAGCAACAGCAGCAGCAGCAACAGCAGCAGCAGCAGCAGCAGCAGCAGAAGCAACAGAAACAACAGCAGCAACCACTGCAGTCGCGACAGCGACGCAGGCAGGAAGCGGGGCAGGAGGTGTCGGGTTCCTTGGTCGTTTGGAAGCAAACAACTTGTTGAGTAAACCTACTACAGGTCTAACTTTTGCTTTTGCTAGAGCAACCCATTGCCTGGGAATCAGGTGCCCAACTCCTTCAGGGACCTCTTGGCACAGATTCAGACATTGCAGGACTGGGACTTGGGAGTTCCCAGCGGGGGTGGGGCTCCAACTCGCGCCCGAGTGGGTTCCCACAAGCTTTCCTTTGACTGTTGAGGGGACTCTCAATCTGTCAAATTTGGCCCCCCAGAATGGCGGGTTTCCTGTAAACCGACTGGTGGCCGTCAAAAAGCAGGCCCATCTTCCGGCCCGAGCTCTGGCGCCGGCATAAACTGCGAGTTTCGGGAGTTTGGATCCGGGCCAACGTGTTCAATAATTTATCTGGTTGGGCGCCAGTAACCTCGGAGTCGGTGGACCCTACTAGTTGACGGCTCCTCGGTTCAGGATTCATCTGAAGTGGAGAGGATTTTTTTTTGGATCCGTGGCTGTCCCAGCGTAAGAGTCGTTTAAGGCGATGAACATGGCTCCAAGTCTTTTGCAGCTGCAACGCAACTCAGTAATATAAGGGCCTAAATGGCTTTCATGATATATTTCCCGAGAAGTTAGGTGTTTTTTAATGCACCTGTTTGCTCAAGCCGGATTCCGACCTCTGTTCGTTCTGGAAGTCTTGAGGTCTCCCGGCGCGAGTCTGGGGAGAGTCTCCCTTCGAAACCACATATGACCAACGATCAGAGCAGTGAGTTTCTTTTGCACGAGGGGAAATTTGGTGGGGCCTCTCTTCAAACAAAAGTCACGACCAACGAAAGGAGTTGCCGTTTTTCGCCAGGGGATGATGTTTTTTTGTAGGAACCCTGACGGCAGGTCGAGGTCGCGTTTTTGTTTCCCTATAATGTTGTCCCAGGATTAGTAAGCCTGTCCCATTATTAGGTGTGCGTTCCCTCCAAAAGTGGTCTGAATCCCCACTAAAAGGGGACACCCCTATTAATCAACCAGGGTGTATTGATCCGGGGTTAACAGTATTTTACCATGATCAAAGTCACCCCCTAAGTCGTAGGTTAAAGGGAAAAAACTAATTTTCTGACTTTGATAACCTCCAGAAACCGTCAAAATAATGAACCCAGTCAAAGTGCTCAAAGTGGTCAACTTTAGCCGAGGCCAGGCTATGGCTGGCGCACGAAGCGGAGCTCTATGGATGTGACGGTCGAGACGCTAGAGGCATTTGGGAGGAGTGCCCTGCTGACCCCAGGAGGGCTGGGGGCCCCTCCAAAAGTGAGGGTTCCCCACTAAACCTAAGGACATGCCCTATTACTAAACTGAATTTGATTCATATGGGGTCAGCATGAATAGTTGTTTTCCCCTTTAATCTCCTTAAAACAAGAAAACGCCTAAAAAAGGGGGAGCAATACGTCAACGCTTTGCGCATGCCAGGCTTCAGCAAGTCCTCCATTCTCTCGCAGTCGGTTGCACACGGCAACACTCCCAAGTCGGAGAAGAAGACGTCCCTGGTGCTGAATGTGCGCAAGGCCAAGTCGGACCAGGAGGGGCACGGGACTCGTGCGCCTGCCATGATATCGGTGTGTTCGGTTTTGAAGGTACCCCTTTTTCGTGCCTTAAGGGAAACCCAAAAGGAACGTTTACCAACATCCAACGGACTCGTGTGCCTGCCATGATATCGGTGTGTTCGGTTTTGAAGGTACCCCTTTTTCGTGCCTCAAGGGAAACCCAAAAGGAACGCTTACCAACATCCAACTGTCCCAGAAAGAAAGACAGCTTAGTCGGGGTGCCATGTGGAGTACAAAGGAAAGCGGATCAAAGCTCACGCGAGCGCAATGCGGGCATGCCATCCTGAACAAAGGGACGCTTTTTGGTTTGGTTTTCGTGTTTGCAAGAGCCACAGGGTGGAATCAGCTTTGCATCCTGGCTTGACACATATTGAGAGTTCGCTGAAAGGTATGGCCCAGGGACAAAGTGGTTGGTTTTGCTCCAGCCCGCGACAACATGGGTTTGATCTAAGGCCAGAATATTTAATTTGCTTCGAGGTTGGCACACGCCCGAAATCAATAAATGCAAAGGTTACAACTTGCTAGTGTTCTTCATGGAATGAGGGAACGACCCTTCTAAACCATCCCACTGGTTTCCTTTGAGGGGACCATTCCCTGGGTTCATTCCCACATTCCCTACCGCACCAACAAGTTAGTGGGAGGAAGGGTAACTTTTAGTGGGTTGAATGGACATCCCCACCAAACACTAAAAAGCTAAAAAGCTGAGGAACCGGATGGCTGGGAGCCACCAAGAAAAGGGGGGGACAGCTCGAGGTTCTAAGGGAGCCATGACGGCTGAGAGGAGTTTTGATCGCCAGGTCATGAGCTCTGGCATCCTCGGCGCCCTGTCAGCACTTGGCGCTAGCTTAGCGCTAGGCTGAAGCGCAAACATGGGTGCGCATATATATATAATGATCATGGTTAATGGGTTTTAAGGCTTGGTAGCCCTCTTGTGCCTTTAAAGGGAAATCACAGGAACAGCAGACTCCGGTTTTGGAGTCCCACTATTTCGACAAACCAAAGTAGACGCTTGATTATTGTATGGGCGTGACTTGAGTTGGCTTTTCACGTGCCCCACCCCCTCTAATTGTTTAGGCCCTTAGTTGTTTGTCTGGAAGATTCAGTTTTTCACCGACGGCTGACGACAGTTCAGCCATATTCAGTGCTTGACTTGGCCTGAAATCCAAAACCGTTTTTTTTGCGCATTCGGCACTGTCAACATTTCCACATGTTGTTCTCAACCGAAGCGGAACAGCGCAACTCCGACATCGACTTGTCCCAACCCCAAACCAAAACCTTTGGGTTACATGAAGCAGCCTATGTAAATCCTTTTCAATCCATGCTCGGCGGCAATATTATTGTCTCATTGGCACAACAGGCTGCGCATTGTGCCTCTCCCGTGACTAGTCTCGTATCCTGCATCCGCTTTCAGGCTCTTTTGGGAGCGCCGGAGAGAGAGACGCAGAGGCGGGAGGCCGTTGGCACTTTGGCCCGCCGTTGGCCATCAAATGGTCGAGGTCGTCTCCGAATGGTTTGGGCTACTAGGTCCCCCAGTAGTGCCCTTTTACGCTTTGACCCCCTTTTTTGGCTGGGAGGGTTCCCCTACTAAAATAGACTACAGAGAAAAACGGTACCCTTATTTCAACCTTTCGACTGGAGGACCTAGTTCATCTTGGTGTTCGAAAGTCCAATCTGCGCCATTGACGCATCATGCAGGGCCAAGCTTGCTCCTGCTTGCGACTTCCGCTTTAGATGGGCAGCCCCACGACCCAACAGCAGCCGGCATTGAGCTGATCAGAAAAATACCGTGGATGGACGAAATCCGGCAACACCTAAGAAACCCTTGATGATTTCCTTGGACATACTAACAAGCAATGGTTTCCCTTGTTTCCTTAGGTGGTGCGAAATGGATTTCGTCCAGCCACAGTATGATAAACACCGCATGCGCTATTTTTACTCAGTCGGAAATACAAGGGTGTTTTGTTCTAGCATACCATGGGCGGATATGGGCGGAAGGCACTTGGTGGCGGACGCAACAAGTGGCGCTCATGGTTTTCCTGAAAGGCATATCCTGAATGTAGACTTTTGGGAGATTGGAATCCAAAGGAACAACAACCATATCCAAGCAGTTTTAAGGCCGCAAACTTGCTTCTTTATGGCTGCAACTCAGCTTTTCGGTTTAGCCAAGCTAATTTGAGGCTCCCCCAATTTTCACTGGGTATGTTGCAAAAACAAGTCTTAATCCGTATCCCAGATGGTTGTAGTTGCCCTGGATGAAGCGGTACTACGAATTCAGATGCGGATCCCCCATTTTGTGCAGTGTTTGGCGATCTGTCCCTTGAGCATCTCCCTGAATGGATTTCCTTGAAATGTGAATGAACCCATTTCGGGGCACCTGTTACTTGCTCCAGTTGATTCCCAATTGTGAACCAATCCTATAAACAAAAAACAAGAACAACAACAATCCAAGTTGGTTTGGTTGGTTTGGTTGGTTTGGTTGGTTTGGTTGGTTTGGGTTGCGTCGCGCGTTGTTTTTTTCCATGACCCTAGATCTAGTGTCTCAACAAAGGAGAACCCCCACACTGGCAACGGTTTTTCTTTTGGTATCCCTTTCAACCCAATCTCAAAAAAACATAAGCTCAAGTGATATCCCCAACAGCATGCGGTGCTCTTTTTAGTGCTCGCACCACCTCGCAGAACCTCGCAGAACCCTCGTGGAACCCTGGTAAAACCCTGGTGGAACCCTCGTGAAACCCTGGTGGAACCCTCGTGGAACTTTACCTCAGGGCCGCCCCGGACGACCCCTGAGCCCATCTGGGCTAAGACCCCAAAGCTTTCAGCTGTTGGGGAAAAACCAGGCGAGCCTTAGGTGGTTTGGATTGGGATTTGAAGCCTTGGGATTTGAGGGATGTGGCACCAAGCCGATCCCATGGAAGCTGAGCCTCGCGCAAATCCAGGCGTCTCCGTGCGAGCCGGGCGACCGAGGCCAGAAAAACCCGCCTCCATTTGCCCCATGTGGCGGTGGAATTGGCAAACATCGGTACCCAAATTGGGACCCCGGTAAATGGAGAAGGACTAAAACCAGCTTCTTTTCTTCTTCGGGTTGAGAATTTGACCCATGGCCGATATAGCTTGATTTGTTTGGGTTTGAAGGGAATCTGTCACTGGACATACCGTGGATGGTTGCCAAATCCAATTCGCACCATCTAAGAAATCATGGTTGAAACCATGCTCACCGGGTATTTACAGGGGAATCGACACATTCCGTTGGGTTTCTTGGGCAGTGCGAAATGGAGTTCGTCCACTACGGAAGTGGAGGTGAGGTTTGGTCCCAAGAATCAAGATACTTCCGAGAGACCTGCGGCTCAGGAAACAGCACTTGGGGCAAAAACAGGGCTCGATGTAGGATTGCCCATTTGCCCACCAGGTGTGTCTCATAAGAGACGATACTGGTCTCCCCACAATCTCCCTAAGAACCAAGCCGAAAGAGAGTACTCTCCAAAAAAAGCGATGCCACGCTTGAGTCAATGCTTGACTGCGCCAGGCAAATCCAAAAGCAGTTTGGCGTCGCGGGCCTACAAGGCATGCAGCTGGTTGGCCGTGAATTTGGTTTGGGACCCGCCTCAAACATGGACACGAAGTCCAAAAAACTAATTTCTGTCCACATGGCAAGCTCAAATGTGGGTGCAAGGAGCTCGTGACAAGAACGTGAGCAACCCAAGCTATATAACACTAGCAGCGCCTTCTGTGAATTGCCACGGACGTCTTTCTGTTGCGGCCGCAGCCGTTCACCAAAGCTAAGCACTGCCACTTGAACAGGGCTCCTTAAAAGATACATTGTGCAACCATTTGAAACATGGCTTTTTCCACCAAAATACAGGGACACCACCATTTACAAGGCAAGGTTCAGGTGTAGAATGTAAGTACTCCCACTTGAAGGGGGTCATCCATGGCTGGGCTTTTGGGACCAGATGGCTTGGCGCCGCCCGGCCATTTTTGTACTGTGGATGGATGCGAAATCCGCTTAGGCACCACCGTTCAGAAACCGAACGGAATGTTGATTCCCCTGTAAATACCGACAAACAATGGTGTCTCATGGTTGCTTGGGTGGTGCGAAATGGATTTCGTCCATCCACTGACATACCCCACTGAAGCAAACGTGATTCCCGTGGGGCAAGAAAGGGCAACATTTCACCACCGTCCGGCCGATCGGCCCAAGTCAAAACAAATCGCTTTTTCTGTTGAGTGAAAAGGGGGTCGGTTTTGCAGGCCACGGTAGTTGCAATCCAAAGCGGTCCATTCCTCTTGACGCACCTTGTGAGTCGGTTTGGAAGATCTCCGCTTCTGGGGTTCAAACTTTGAAACAAGCCCTTGTTCCCAGAAAGACAGCAGCTGGTTTTACACAATTGTTTACGCAAGTGTTGTTCAAACACGACATGTTTCTTCACCAGGGTTGAGTTTTTCCAACCCCGGAGCATCTGTCCAGGCGATATCCCCGCCCAGTCAGGCAGGGACGCAGAAACCGCCGGGGTGTCTTCTTTTCCGCGTTTCCGGTGCGAGCGAGGGGCGAGCTGGTCGAAAGGCCCACGAAGGGTTTCGTTTCAGTCGATGCCTTTTTGGCTTTGTTCGTTTCACCGGGAAAACCGAAGACATACGGCTGTGGGTCAAAAATGCGTACCCAAAATGGAACCCTGGTAAATGGAACCAAAGACGAAAACATGCGATCCCCTGGTGGTTTTATTTTGACCCATACCCATATCCAGAAGGCACCGAAGGCATCGCAATTTGCTTTGGCCAGGTGATGAGTCCTGGTGTCTTGGCAGCCATTTGGAGTTGGAAATCACCACTTTGCCCAAAACCGCTGGCCATTTTAGGTGGTTCGGTTCATGCCTGGCTTTTGGTTAGGCAGTTCTGCCAAAATACCCGGAGAGCCTGAGGAGACCATTCCAAGCGATGGGTACCTGACAATTCAGATGGCTTATCTTTGGTGCATTTTGC